TTCAAAATATCTTAATTTAAAGCACAGAATTCTTTCAGTGTTCCTCCGGTGTTTTTGGACATGGACTGTTTCTTCAATTTAATAGTGTTCTGTTCTGGATCATTTCTATACTCTTTCTTCAAATATTTTTCGTATTCCAGCTGCGTTTTGCGTTTGGTTTTTCGCATCGCGTTTTTACTATATTCGTAATTTTAAATTTTTTAACAAAATCAATTGGTGGTAGTTAATGATTGTGTATGGATAACCCTTTTCACCTATTAAAAAACAACACTTACGGGGCAATGTTTATTGTAAGAACAACATTTATTTCTATGAATCGACATACTTTAAGCATTGCTGACGCTATTTCCATTTGAATGAGGAGTAGCATCAACGACTTTATTTCCAAATTTTTGTTGACTTTATTTCGCTTCTGAAAAGGTAATAATGTCAATTGACTTTATTTCGCACCAGGGTGGGAAATAAAGTCAATTGACCTTATTTCTGTTGATCTTGTTACTTGTCACCGATATTTTGAACAGTTTCGGCTTTTTCCATTGTTTGTTTACTGTTTATTATTTTTTATTAAAAAAAAACAGCTCGTTATCTAACAAAAACAATATACGTCCAAATTTCAAACTTTGTAGAAATATTAGAAAAATTCAGCAAACATTTTTTACAACAAACTTTTTATTAAGATTTTCTTGAAAAATTGCTAGTTTCAGCTAGCTAAAAAATCGCGTTGATTTTTGATAATTGTTTTTGCGAATAGTATTATTATTTTATTCCATACAAAAAAATTTTCGAACACACTTTGTATGGAAGAAAATGCTTGACACCGTCAATAATCTTAATAAAAAGTTTGCCCTAATTTTGTTGAATTTCTCTAATTTTTCTACAAAGTTTGAAATTTGGACTTATATTGTTTTGTTAGATAATAAGCTGTTTTTTATAAAAAAAAATAATATACAGTAAATAAACAATGGCAAAATAGCAGTAACTGGTAAAAATGTCGTGTCTTTATTGTTACTGTAGGTAACAAAGATAAATTTTGTAAAAAAAATGAAAAAAATACTTACTATTATTGACACAGATTTCTAGGATCTATTTATTCTTTGCACTTCTTCACAAATATCGAAATACCGAAACTTTATTTGTACTAAATCGTAATGAACCGCGACTGGAATTTACACAATAGAAATATTGCACTTCGTATACTCAAGAATTTTTTACCAAAAATGAGCTACGCCAACGATGCAGACAAGTGTGCACGCCGCACATTCACGAGGTGGCGCCTTCAGCAGTACCGTATTCGAAAATATAGAAACTAACACCCACACTCAAAAAAAATAAACAAC